GTTACGTTAACGTAGTAGTAGTGTGTGTGTGTGTGTGTGTGTGTGTGTGTGTGTGTGTGTGTGTGTGTGTGTGTGTGTGTGTGAGAGAGAGAGAGAGAGAGAGAGAGAGACTGAGAGACTTCTAAGGCACCTATTGAGGTATGCTACTAACACAGTTTCAGCACTATTTATTGGATAACATCCTACACATTGCAATGAATTTCAAAAAGTCTCACCTCAAAAAGTTAACTCCTTTAACCTGGTTTTTCATTTAGCCTCTCACATGTTCTCTAGTTTAGTATAATACTAGACAGTATATTTTCTATGGAAAACTCAGTTACTACTGTACATCAGAATCCGGAATATACCAGGACAAGCCATGAAAGCAGACACACACATATTGCTTCTTCAAAGCATAACATCTCCAGAAATCAAACATTCTGAGGCACTGTAATAAAATATATTGGCATAATGTTCCATTTATCTAGGTGCCAGGGTTAATAGCGGTCTCTCCAAATGTTTTTTAATAGAAAACATGGAAAAGATAAAATACATCCGTTTCTATTGTGTAGATTGAGAATATTGCTCATCTTGCTATTCAGCTTTTACAATTTAATTAAGTGTAAACCATCACCTGCATATAAGGAAGGTCTTCCCTCTGCCAACCCTGGCACTTCCAGCACCAAGAAGTTTCCATTCTTTTTCAAAATGATTCCACTCATGCTAAATTCTTTGATCTCCATTTCAGCATGGATCTCCTCAAGCCAGAGCAGGGTAGAAAGGTTTGCTTTATAGTTAGACAGATTCAGTCGCTGAAAATTTAAAAAAAGTACATTATGTGTATTGCAATAGTGTCTAGAAGCCACAACAAAAATCTGAGTCCCTTGTGTTAGGCACCATACAACATATATATGAAGACACAGTCCCTGCCTCAAAAGGTGTACAACCTAAGTAGACAATAACAGACAAAAGTAGGGGAGAACAGAGGCACAGAATGACATGACTTGCCCAAAATCACACAGAAGTTAGTGGTAGAGCTGGAAACATAACTCAAGTCTCCCAGTTCAGTGCCTTATCCACTAGACCATGGTACCTTTCTAATTAAATGTATCAAGTGATAATGGGGATTTGGGAAGAGCATCAGGCTTAATTTACCATTTTCATGTACATGAACAGGGATTTTCAGAAAAGTCTAAGCTGGTTAGGCACCCAAATCCATCGAAGTTCAAGAATTCCCTTTGGTAAATCCAAGCCACAGTACTTCTTCACTTTTTGCATTATAATCTGAGAGATGTCTCTAAAAAAAATCAGCTTACAGGGTAAATACAGAAGTACCCTGGTTTTAGCTGTATTTTATTTAGATCACACTACTAATTTTGTAACGAAAACGAGTAGTTCCAAAAATATCTAAGATTTATTTGACCTTTAAGTAAGCATAAGGTTCTCAGAAAGCATTTTTCTAACACCAAATACCAGCCAACCCACCCCCACACCCTAAAACAACATGCTGAGCTTCTAGGGAAAAAAATGAGAGAATGAACTATTGGAAGAGTCAGAAGGTGTCTTTGTCTTAATTATAAAATAATTTTAATGAGAAGAACTAATAAAAAGGAAAATATTGTGGTTTTTATTTGTATTTAATTCCTTACTTTCAAAAGAAGAAAGCAAGATCCAGTACTGGCACTAAAAAGTAGACAAAATAATTGTAGTTCTTGGTATCAGGGAAGCTACTGGTTCACAGGAAATGGATAAGGTAAAAAATGTTACTGATTTATGCAGTTCAAAAGGCTCTTTTAAAAACAACAGCAACAACAAAAAGCATTCAGGCTACCCTAGTTCCTTGTAACTTCCTAGGGGAAAAGTGTGTGGGACTAATTTTAGACCACTTATTTTTCAACTGGCCAACATTACTCACATTTACACTGCCAAGGCAGGCATGTCATTGCACAGCTGGAGGAACACTCAAAACGGGACTGACTGAAAGAATCTCCCTGTCAAACATTACTCCAAGAGGGATCACTTATGAGACTTAACAACAGAGGATGTGCAGCGTGCAGCTCAGGATGGATAGAGATGGTAGAATCTTGTTTGTGCCCTAAACTATTTCTGACAGTGCAGGAGGGATTCAAATTCAGATTACAGTGTGATTCTCACCTTTTTCCCAAATCACAAACAGAAATGAGCATTGTCTATTGAATGCAGAAGAAGCGGCACTAGCGGATTTTTAACAAATACTGTCACTGTATTCTGTGCCACGTTTAGTAGCAGATTTAGCTTATCACAGGGGTTCTCAAACTGTGGGTTGGGACCCCAAAGTGGGTCGTGATCCTGTTTTAATGGCGTTGCCAGGACTGGCGTTAGACTTGCTGGGGCTCAGGGCTGAAGCAAAAGCCCAAGTCCCACCACCGGGGCTGAAACCAAAGCCTGAGAGCTTCATCCCTGGGTGGTGGGGCTCAGGCTTCAGCTTCAGCCCTGGGCGACGAAGATCAGGTTACAGGCCCCCACTCAGGGCGGTGGGGCTCAGGGCTTTGGTGCCCACTCCCGGGGTCATGCAGTAATTTTTGTTGTCAGAAGAAGGTCGTGGTGCAATGAAGTTTGAGAACCCCTGGCTTATCACAAGGCTAACATACAGAGATCGTTCTTGGCTTGTGAAAGACTGGCATGTGTCAGAACATACAAGTCATATGGCGTTTCTTGGAAGCAGTCTCATGGCCTTGCTATCTTATTGCAATGCCTCAGTTGTACCCTTCAGAGGCCACTTCAGACAACAGGTTTTTGGTTAAGTCACAATCGGGATTTCAGAGTCCTAGGTGAGTCCCTCTCTGAGCTGAAGCAGTTACGCTTAGACCGTAAAAAGGTAGCTACATGATTCTGAAAGAAACACAAGGAAATGCTGACCAGAAGCCAGGACTTTGAGCTCTGTAGCCAAAGAGCTACCATGTTTATGGCTGTTTGGTTTTATATTTTTTATTTGGAGATTATAAAAATTATCAATCTGCATGAAGGGAATGTGACCAGAGAATTCGCTGGTTTACGTTATGTTGTTTGAACAGCAGTCCTTTAAAATAATCCAGAAACCAGAGAGAAGATTCTCCCACCCCCCGCCTGCAAAAAACCCCTCAAATCTTCTGTGAACTCTCTCTCCAATCATTCATACTCAGGTCCTGACACAGGGAATTTTGGGGAAGAGCTGGGACACTGATGAGTTGTGACACTTCATTATCCAGAAAGCAGTATAGTAATAAACTCTCTAGAGTTGCTCCAGCCTACTTCACAAACCCTGTCCTTCTCCTCCTACCTATTCCTGTTAATCCTGTGCCTACTTCCTCTCTGTTCCTTCCCACAATCATACACTGTTAGTTCAAGAAACATATTCTCTTGCAGCTCTGGCATCTGAGGTGACCTTTTCCATACGGCACTCTAATATACTCCCCATCCATTTTCAAACTCTCACTTGCCTAGGCCTTCTAATTTCTTCTCTGGTTCAGGGCCTGCAACATGCTGACTCCCACAAAAGTCAAGAGAGCATCTACCAGCATCAGACTCTTATTTTGTAATTAGATTTTGTAGAACTACATGATACCCATGAGGGCAGGGGACTGGACTCGACTCTATGACCTCTCGAGGTTCCTTCCAGTCCTAGAATCTATCAATCTAGTCACAGGTATTTTTAGTAAAAGTCATGGACAGATCACGGACAGTAAACAAAAATTCACGACCTGTGGCCTGTCCATGACTTTTTTACTATATAACCTTAACTAAAACTTGGGCAGGGGGCCACGGGTGCTCTGGGGAGGCGGTGCAGGGGCAACACAGGTGCTGGGGCAGGTGGGGTGGCCGAGACCCCACTAGTGCTGGGGGGGTTTGCCAGGTGGGGGCACGTGACCCCCGACCCCTGCTGGTGATGGGGGGAAGGGGGCGCATGGCCCGGGACCCATGCTAGTGCTGGGGAGGGAGAAGCAGGGCAGACAGCAGCCCAGGACCCCTGGTGGTACTGTAGGGGGAGGATTGGTGAGGCTGGCAGGCTCCCTACCTGGCTCTGCATGTCCCTGCAGCTCCTAGGGGGAGGGGCAATGAGCGGCTCTCCACGTGCTGCTCCCACCACAAGTGCCGGCTCTGTAGCTCCACTGACCGAGAACCCCAACAATGGGAGCTGTGGGGGCGGGAGCTGCACGACCCCCCCCCGGCCCTTCCGGCTAGTAGCTGCAGGGACATGCCAGTGGGAGCTGGGGAGCCCCCCACCCCAAGGTAAGTGCTGCCCCGCACCCCAACCCCCTGCCCATAGCCCCCTCCCACACACCCAAACTGCTGCTGCAGGCAGCACCTGAGCCAGCATCGGCCGTTGCAGAAGTCACGGAATCTGACACAGACATGCAGCCTTAACCATTATATATAAACACAGCAGCTACGCAGGAGTATGTGGGTGTGTGTTCAGGTTGGCATTTATAAAGATGCAAAGAGAGATTTTACACTTGCATATATATGTGCACACATACCTCTGCAAGGAGAGGTTGAAAACTCAGTATGTCCAATTTCTGCTCCACACATTTTCTTAATTTATCTGGTATGGGATAGTGTGGTAGGAAACTTGGAAGATGTCTTCTACAACTTCTAAAATAAGAATTCAAAGTTACTTCAAGTCAGTATATTTAGGTTGCACAAAGTAGTTCTTACAAACTGAATTTAGCTGGTTAGTGTGGATTTCTTTACTAAAGAGTAAGAACAAAAAAAAATCAAGATTCTGTAGTTACTAAAATAAGCATCAGTTTTAAAAAAATAAAAGAGCTTCACATGAAGGACCACAAGTTAGCAAACACCAGCCTCAAGGCTACAAAGACAGCAATACCAAAACACAAGTACAGTAAATGAAACTTTTGTCAGTTTAGGTTCAAACAAAAACCAGGAACAGAAGTTTGCTACATTGCGGTGGGGTGTGGGGAAGAGAATGTTGTTATAGAAGCATATTTTACTTTCAAACGTTCTGACCAACTTTTTCCTCACTAACGAAGGTGTTGTGGTGAACAATTTAATGTTAGTTATAGTTTTAGAGTATCTGTTAAGTATATTTTGTCTGTTGTTAAAATTTACTTATCTAAGGACCGCTTCCTGTTTTTCATTCAAGATTTTTCTAGGGTTTGTATTGTCAAGACCCAGCTACATCAAATGACTTGATCAAAATCTCACATATCAGTAATTCAGTCAAGGGACTTCCCGCGTTTCTGTCTTGCTGTCTAAAACACAATTAGATTGCACCAATCCTACTAGTGGGTGCGCTCTGGCAACACTTTAATACTAATTAGCCTCTAACTCATTCATAAGTGTATAACATGCAGCAGCAGGACAGTTTGTGAATCATAAGAAAAACATCTATAAAGAAAGTTAAAATAGTTTGCTAAACAAGGAAAAACTATTTCAGCCAATGGAACTTTGAAGAAAACCCCCCAGTTTTTATTTATCTTTTTCCAGTTTACTGAATGAATAGTAGTTACAACAGGAGATAAGCTAGTTCAGTACGATAAACTGCCCTGGAACTAAAGTTACACATTTACTTCAATCAGCATTATATAAAGGTATGCCTTTCCATATCCTTCATATTAGACACAGCTGAATGTGGATTATTTGATAGTACCTTTTGTGTTCTGTTACAGGCACTGTGGTCTTCATGTGCTGTAACTCTGGAATAACTTTATACTTTCTTACTGAGAATGGTTCAGTGGCTGCTATTAGAGATTCCTCTTCATTTATTACAGTTACTTCAATGTAACGTCCAATAATAAAATCAGAAAAACAAAGCAACAGAAGTTCTTTGCAGCGGCCAGGGTTTCTTCAAGTAAACAAGCAAAAATAAGTTAGGTTCTTCAAAACCACAGATTTTACTTATCAGTTCAGCGATCACAATGTTGAAAGAGACTGATCAGGTTTTGAGGGACCTCCCTAAAAATCAAGTAATGGCTGATTTAGAAGAATTCTTCATATTCACAAAATTTGAAAGAGTTTTAGTTGAGTCCAGCTACCATTTCCTAAAAGTAAAGTTTAAAAAAAAATCTAAGCACTAAAAAAATCCAAATATTAACGAGCCTGAACTTGAAAAAAAGTTTAAAGGGCAACTGTACTTTAGAAGAGAAGTATCAGTCTGAAAATTTCCTGTGTACAGTCACTCCACTGCTGAAAGGCCCTCATCCAGGATGCATCTCATTACACAGCAGCAAAAACTCTGCTCTATTGGAGGTCTGTGTTCCTCTGCATGGACCTCCAGCAGCTGACAGAGCTAATGAGGAAGAGGGAGGTCCCAGCCTGACCCCTCAAAGACATGCATTTCCTGTCAGCAGAGAAAGTGGCAACAAGGGGAGTGCAAATTCCTGCAAAAGAGAGTTTGAGGAGCTTATGCTCCAGACTATCAGAGCTCTTATCCCACACAAAACCCATTCATTTAATCCCTTTCCAGGTTCTGTCCCAGCATTGGGCCCAGTACCAAATTTTCTCCTCACCTCTCCAACACACAGAACTTAGTTCTGATCCTCTACCCCAACCCCCCCGCCCACCAGCTGTCTGACTCTTAACTAGCTCTGTCACTGAAACTTACAACAAACATTAAGTCCCAGATCAACAAAGGTGTGTGGGATCCTTACTTTCACTGAAATTAGGAGCCTAAATACCTTTGAGGATCTGGGCTTGCGTGCCTATAAAGGTGCTCAGCCTTATACAAAACAACTACCAAGTGATCTCCAAGCCCTCCACTTATCCCACACCTGTTTCCTCCCTAAAGGTTCAGAATCCTCTTACTGTTCTTTCTCAAGAAGATATGTACAGAGTTATCCAATCCACATATAGTAGGGTCCCAAGCTCTGGTCACACTTTCCACGATAGTTCAGCAATGGAAGGGGAACACACAGAAAACAATCTGTATTTCTTCTCCTTCAGAGGTGGATTTCACAAACAGATCCTACCCTAAAAGAAGGTTTTTCTCCAATTTCTATTAGGGCTACTCTATCTAAAACAGCTCTCATAAAAATTGGAAATTAAGTTGCTGCACCATTGATTTAGTGACAGCGCAGCAATGGAGATAGCACAATTTTATCCTGTTTTTCCATGTTTAAAATTAGAATCACACAAGTGCGATGCACATTTATAACACGGCTTCACAAAAATAAAATATTTTGCATGGCATGTGCCTCTGTTATTAAACGGAAGAGTTTTCTTTAATCAGCTAACGTCATTCTTCTTGTGAAGCAGAACCTGTGTGCTCTATGGAGTTAAACTACAGAAATCCAATATGTAGGCAAACAAAAAAAGTTAAGTTTCCAGAACAGCTCAATTTTGAATATCCCAGGACAGAGCATTCATAAAGCTCAGGACTTAAACAAGACTATCCATAAAAATATGCACTTTGGGTATTTTTTTGCTCAAAGTAAGACCATGTCTTACTAGTGTTATTAAAAGAGGTACTCACTCATTCTGCTTTGTTTGTCCATTTACTTCTTTACCCTCAAAAAAAAAAATCACTAACCTTTCTGTTACTGTTTTCTTTGAGATGCATTGCTCAAGTCCATTCCCATGTAGGTGTGTGCGTGCCGCGTGCACAGACACAGGAAGATTTTTCCCTCAGTAGTATCTGTCGGGTCAGTCCCAGCACCCCCTGGAGTCTCATCTCATAGTGCCATAGAGGGGCCTGCCACCCCTTCAGTTCCTTCTTGCCAGCAACTCTGACAGAGGGGTAGGTGGGTGGGCTTGGGAATGACATGAGCAACACATCTCGAAGAACAACAGTTACGGAAAGATTAGTAATAGTTTTTTCTTCTTTGTGGACTTGCTCATGTCCATTCCTATGTAGAGGATTCCCAATCAGTTAGAGGAAGTGGGTTCAGAGTTCAACAACAAGCAGACTGTAGCACTGCTTTGCCAAATCCAGCATCATCTCTGGCCTGCTGCGTGAGGGCATAATGGGTTGCAAAGGTGTGGACTGAAGACCATGTGGCTGCTCTACAGATATCCTGGATGCGAACTTGTGCCACAAATGCCAGTGAAGATGCTTGCGCCCTTGTGGAGCGTGCTGTCAGTGCCAGAGAAGGGACCTTTGCCAAGTCATAGCACATGCAAATACACAAGGTAATCCATGAAGAAATTCTTTAGGCTGAGACTGGGAGGCCCTTCAGCCTATCAACCACTGCTACAAAGAGCTGAGTAATCTTCCTAAACTATCTGATCCGATCTAGGTAAAAAGCCAGCGCCTACCTGACTATTTGCAGGTGGCTTCAGGAAGAACACAGGGAGGAAAACGTCCTGGTTATTGTGGAATTGCAATACCATCTTTGGGAGGAAGGCCAGGTGGGGGCGGAACTAAACCTTGTCCTTGATGAAAACTATGTAGGGCAGTTCTGAAGCGAGGGCCCTGATTTCTGAGACCTTCCTGCCCAATATGATGGCTATGAGGAAGGCCACCTTCTATGATAAGTAGAGCAAAGATCATGTTGCCAAAGGCTCGAATGGTGCCCCCGTCAGTCTTGAGGAGGACCAAGTTAAGATCCCAAGGGGGGATCGTCTATTTTACCTGCGGGTAGAGTCTGTCCAGTCCTTTAAGAAAACAGCTACAGAGCACGATAGTGAAGGTGGACCTGCCACTCACCCTGGGTGGAAGGCCAAGATAGCTGCCAGATGCACCCTGATCAAAGACACAGATAGTCTCTTGTTTTAGATGTAACAATTAGTCCAGGATGCACGGTTTTGTAGTTTGAGTGGGCAAGATCCCCTTCTGTCCAGCCCAGATAGAGAACCTTTTCCATTTCACCAGATAGGTAGCCCTGATGGATGGCTTTCTGCTCCCTAACAGGACCTTCAGAACCGGTCCCAAGCATACTAACTCCAAAGGGTTCAGCCATGGAGCTTCCAAGTTGTCAGGTGGAGGGATCAAAGACCCAGATGAAGGAGATGTCTGTGATCCTGGGAGATCAAGTCTGGAAACAGTGGTAGGGTGATCGGTTCTTTGACCGAGAGCTGCAGGAGGGTGGTGAACCGATGCTGGCGCGGCCATGCCAGCGCTACCAGGATCAGGCTCGCTTTGTCCCCTTTGACCTTCAGCAGAAACTTGTCTATGAGCGGAATAGGTGGGAATACATAGAGAAAATGGTCCTTCTAGGGAAGAAGGAACGCATCTGTGAGCGAGCCTGGACTGTGATTCTGGAAAGAGCTGCAGACACTTCCTGTTGTATCTTATTGCAAACAGGTCTACATGGAGAGTTCCCCACCTCTGGAAAACATTCCCTATGACATCCGGGCAAATGGACCCCTCGTGATTGGAGAAGGATTTGCAGATCCTTGTTAACTTGTTCTGAGCTCCCAGAAGGTAAGAAGCCTCGAAGTGTATTGAGTGGGTTATGCAGAACTCCCATAAGTGGAGAGCTTCCTGGCATAGGTGAGAAGAGCGCGCTCCACTCTATCTGTTTATATAGCATATTGCTGTCATGTTATCTATAAGCACCGACACACATCTGCCCTCTAGACGGGGCTGGAATGTTTGGCAAGCAAGACGCACTGCTCAGAGTTCTTTCACATAGATATGTAGCAGGATCTCCTCCTGGGACCAGAGACCTTGAGTTCTGCGGTCCCCCAGGTGAGCTCCCCATTCCAACTCTGAAGCATCGATAGCTGCAGTTTCCTGAATGGAATGCCTGCACAAACCACCCCTGGATCCAGCCCCATAAGAGGGAGTTGATCACCGAAGGAGAAGCGTGAAAACTTTGTCCAGGAGGTTGCAGCCTGGCCAGTAAACTGTTGCTTGCCAGGCCTGCAGCGGTCTGAGTCGCAGCTTTGTGTGCTTTACCACATATGTAAACGATGCCATGTGCCCCAGGAGCTTCAGGCAGGTCCTCGCAGAGGTGGTGGGATGTTTTCTGAGACGGTCTATGATAGAAGTCAGCACCTGGAATCTGGCTTCTGGGAGGGAGACCTTGACCTGGACTGAGTCAAGAACAACCCCTATAAACTCTATCCAAAAGGGACAAGGGTTGACTTTTGTGTATTCAGCAACAGGCCTACCATCTAGAAGTATTATGACAGCATTAACTGGATGTGCTCTTTCACCTGGGTTCTGGACCGGTCTCTGACCAGCCAGCTGTCGAGGTAAGGATATACCTGTATTCTTTGTTTTCTCAGGAAGGTCGCAACTACTGCCATGCACTTTGTGAAGACCCAAGGGACCTCTGAAAGGCTGAATGGCAATACTGTGAGCTGGTAGTGCACCTGTCCCACCATGAACAGCAGTAATCGTTTGTAGTCCAGGACTATAGAGATGTGAAAATATGCCTCCTTCAAGTCGAGGGCAGCATACCAGTCTCCTGGATCCAGAGAGGGGATAATGGAGGCCAGGGAGCCTATGTGGAACTTCAGCTTCTTCGTGAATTTGTTGAGGTTTTCCAGGTCTAGAATAGGTCTGAGACTGCCCTTAGCCTTGGGGATTAGGAAATATCAGGACTAAAATCCCCTGCCCCTTAACTCCAGAAGAACTTCCTCTACCATTCGCAGTTGCAGAAGTGTTCACAGCTCTCAGAGTAGGAGTTGCTCATGAGAAGGGTCCCTGAAGAGGGACAGGGAGGAAGGGTGGGAAGGAGGGGAATAACTCTATTCTAGAATGTATCCCAGTCCTATCATGCATAGCACCCAATGATCTGAGGTGATATGGGCCCATACCTGATAGAAGTGGGATAGCCGGTTCATAGAATAGGAGAGGTTGGATCCAGGTGAAGCTCTGTTACACTGTCCTCGGGCACATCCTCAAAACACCTATTTGGCACCCGATGATTGCCTGGTGGGCCCAGATCCCTGGGTCGAGGAAGGCTGGGGAGCAGGTCTGTTCTTGTAATTCCTGTCCCTCCTTCTACCATAGTCCTGTCTTAGTTGCGATTGCTAGAATGGAGATAATGATTGTGGCTTGAAATGTTTTATCGGTGGGGTCAGGGTGTGCAGATCCAAAGATTTCAGCATGACCTTGAAGTCTTTCAAGCTGTGCAGTTTAGTGTCTGTTTGCTCGAAAAACAGCGCTGTGCCTTTGAAAGGCAAGTGTTGAATAGTCTGCTGCACCTCGTGAGGGAGGCCCGAGGCCTGCAACCAGGAGGATCTCTGCATCACCACCGCCGATGCCATGGTCCTTGCAGCTGAGTTGGCTGCGTCCAGAGCTGCCTGCAAGGACGCCTTTGCCATGGCCCTGACCTCCTCAACCAAGGTTAAGAATTCTGCTCTGGACTCTTAGGGTAAATAGTTCTTTGAATTTTGTCATTGCTCCCCAGTTATTAAAATCATAACAACTATGGAGCACCTGTTAATTAGCAGTGAGAAGCTGGAGCCCCGTGGCATAGATCTTCCTGCCAAAGAGGTCCAGCTTCTCTGCGTTCTTAACCTTTGGGGTAGGATCCAGCTGCCTTTGTTTCTCATGCTGATCTACTACTAGGGATCCCAGAGAGCGAAGTGTGTAGTGATATTCAAACCCCTTTGCTGGGGCAAACTATTTTCTCTCCAGCCATAGTTTGCAGAGAGGTTGGAGTTTGCCACAGAGTCTTAACTGGCTCTAAAATGGCACTGTTTTGTGACAGGGCTACCCTTGACAGCTCTGATGGTGTCTCAGAGTTCCTCCAACTGGATCTCCAGGTTTTGAGCGACCCTCTTTAGCAGTTCCTGATGCGCCTTGGGGTTGTCTTGTGTGGGTGTCAAGGTTCCTGCAACTGCCTTGTCTGGTGAGAAAGAGGAGGATCCTAAGATCGGGACTGGCTCTTGTTCCTGTCCATCCAGTCCTGATGGGGCCCATGGTACTGGTCCCTGGAGCACGGCACCAAGCTCGGTGCCTTGATCCTGTGCCTGGACTGTTAGAGGTGGTGGTGGTAGCGGGGCTCAACACTCCAAAGCTACCGAGTATGATCTCCTTGACTGAGGACCTTGAGCCTGATGAAATGCCCAATGAGTCCAGAAGGGCCATTGTATCGGCACCTGCCATTGCACTGGCCAGCCCACGAGTGGGAGTCCCTGGCTCATCTCGTCCATCCAGTACCATTAGTGCAATCCGTGCTGGCTCTTTCTTGAGACATAGGACTCAGGTTCCGAGTCAGATGCTGAGGATTCACTCCTCGGACACTATGGGGGGTGCGATGCCGGACGGTGAGCAATGCCGGGATGGGGATGCTGCATCATCACCGGCTTCCCTTTTGACCACGGGTTCTCAAACTGGGGGTCAGGACCCCTCAGGGGGTCACTAGATTATTACGTGAGGGGTCGTGAGCTGTCAGCCTCCACCACAAACCCCGCTTCACCTCCAACATTTATAATAGTGTTAAATATAAAAAAAGTGTTTTTAATTTGGGGGGGGGGGAGGGTCGTACTCAGAGACTTGCTGTGTGAAAGAGGTCACCAGCACACAAAAGTCTGAGAACCACTGCTTTTGACAGTACTTGCCTCAGTGTCACAACTGCTCTTGTCTCTGGTGCTGGCTCACATCTAGGTGGCGACGGTAACACCAAGAGGGACATCAGACCCGTGCTGCCCAGAATGCCTGTAGTGTGGACAGGAGTGCCATTCCCGTGTTCCTATAGCACCAGAATTGATGGTTCCCTTTCTGTGGCAGGAGTCAACGGTGCTGCAGCAACACTTGTTGAGCCCAAGTGACCCTGCATGGGTGTCACTCTGCTGGAGTCTTTATGGCCGGTGGGCTTCGGGGTAGGGGAGTGCCCCTATCAGTTTTCCGCTTCTTCTTGCACGGGACCAGGGAGTGGGAGTGATGCCCGTGCACTCTCCTGTACCAACCTCCTCTATACCAGCAAATTGTGGAGTCATGCCATACCAACGAGGAATCTTGCCTCAGTGCCGGGGAGGCCGGGATGCAGTGCCTGTCCCCCATGGAAGCCAGCATGCACCTTGTGGTGCCGAGTCGGAGTGACCTGGCTCCAAGAAGGATGAAGAGCCACCTCCATTAAGAGGAATTTTAGCCTCTGCTCCCTTTCCTTGAGTCCAGGGCTTAAAACCTCTACAGATCCTGCACCAATCACACAGGCGAGATTCACCCAAAAATCTGAGACAACTAGAGTGGGGGTCACCGAAAGGCATAAATTTATGGCAAGCTCACACGGCTTACACCCCGGAAACCAAGGCATGCCCCGGTGCCTGGGTGGGAAAGAACCCAGTTAAGTGGGGTCCTTCACTACACTAACAACTATTACTAACTGTAACATTAACTACTAAACTTTTCTATAACTTTTTACAGGAAAAAGTACAAGAAGCACAAGAAAAGTCCACTGGGGAGGACTTGCAGAGCAGGAATGAGCAGTTCCAGCAACCATCAAAGGCAGAAAGAAGGAACCGAGGGGGCAACGGGTCAGCAGGCCCCTATATACAGCACCACGAGGATGCAACTTGAGGGGTTGCTGGAGCCGACCTGACGGATACCACTGAGGGAAAAATCTTTTGGCGACTGTACACGCGGTATTCACACACCTACATGGGAATGGATATGAGCAAGCACTCGAAGAAGAACTAGATGTTTAAAAGGCAGACTGACCTAAAAATTAAAGTATTATGTTGCTGCCTTGTAAGTTCAAAAAGGATTGGACCAATTCTGCCTTCACATATACACATGCACTTCTCCAACTGACTGCAATGGGAAGTGCCTAGGTAATATCTCATCCTTAAGCTTCCTTCAGCAGAGCAGCTTAAAAAGAACAAAACCACACATACACTGCGGTGCATATGATCACAATGGAAGTCTTTCCATTAGGCGGTATAAAGATTTCCCCACTAGCTTCTGTCTCAACTGTTGGCTGTTCTTCCACATTTTGTCCATTTTCTCCACTGTACAGATTTTCATCTTCTCTGTTACCAAGATCTTCATTCTCTTTTGCTAAATCTGGATCCTTAGGATTAATTCCTTCTGTAGTAAACAGACAGATCACAGTAAGCTTTAATTACTGTATGACAGAGGTTTATAAAATTATGAATGGTGTGGAGAAAGTGAAAGTGTTATTTACCCCTTCACATTAACACAAGAACCAGGGGCCACCCAATTAAATAATAGGCAGCAAGTTTAAAACAAACAAAAGGAAGTACTTTTTCACACAATGCACAGTTAACCCATTCAACAACTTCCCCTGGCAACAAGTTCAAGTGAAAACTAAGTGGATTCAAAAGAGAATTAGATATATTTATGGAGGATAGTTCTATCAATGGCTATTAGCCAAGATGGTAAGGGATGCAACCCCTGTGCTGGGTGTCCCTAAGCCTTGGCTGCCAGATGCTGGGACTGGACAACAGAGGAGGGATCCTTGATAACTGCCCTGTTCTATTCATTCCCTTTGAAGCATCTGGCACTGGCCAGTGTTGGAAGACAGGATACCGGGCTAAATGGACTATTAGTCTGACCCAATATGGCCATTCTTACGTTCTTATTTACTGAAAAGTGGGGCATGCAAGGTCCTACTGAAGGAACATACAGGCCTTTAAAGAGTTAGACATTACATATGTGTATGATTATCTCACACATACCCGGTAGGGTTCCATTATTCATAACAAATGCGTTATTCAATGGCTGGCACATAGGTTCTCTACTGTTATTGAGTGAATTGATGCTCCCTTTTGACAAATTCTCTTGTTTCACAGGAACAGATGGTGACAAAAATGCTGTTGGAGTCTTCTGGCCTTTTTCAGGCAACTGAAAGCTAAACTGCTTCTCTTTTTCCCAGCCAGCTAGTCTGCAGCTGATTAAGGAATGTGGTACATTTCCCTTATTCCTAGAAGTAATTAAACAGTTATCTGTAAATAACATTTCTGAGAAAAAGAGGTTACTTGCAACACAGAACACACAAATCAAGACAGAATCAAATTCAGTTACACTCCAATACATCCACCCTCACTGAAGTGTGGCATGCATATCAACTCCATTGAGAAGAATTTTCAGGATAACTAAAGTAAGACAAATATAAATAAATAAATAATAAAATAAAATAAAAAGATAAACCAGAGGATTAAGTTATCTGTGAAGTTTTAATATAAGCTAATGTAAGTAGGACCCAGGGATTAGGTTCTAGTACAGCATAGCAGATCAACAGAGGTTATACAATATTCCTCTGTATTTAGACTAGGAAATAACTGTTGGAACAGAGTCCATGACGTGCCAGCTATTGGTAAAGGTTGACTGTTTAATGGTGACCATTAAGGTGAGCAACATGGATTCGACTCAACTTTGATACTGTCTCTCCCTCTTTAAAAAAGGGAACGTTAGATATGTTCAAGGTCTGAAATTTAGAGTGTCAGGAATGGAAGAAGAAGAAGAAATAGCACAGTCAAAAGGGAAACCGTTAAGAGAATAATTTAGAGAGCTTACTCTATCCAAATGACCATGTTTTTACTCTCCCCTAGCTTAAGCGTTCCAAAGTTAGTCATTCTTGACACCTCCAGTCCTCCTTTGTCTCTCATTAAATTTTCATATGACTCATCCAAGTTCATTTCACTAGTGGCAGATAGTCTGTAAAAGTCATAATGACACTGTGTTGAATCAAAGTTATGTGGGTAGACTCAGGAAAATATAAAAATAAATATTACATTTAAAGATCCAAAAAACTTAAGTATTTTCCTCAGTGTTTGAGTATAGAAGTCCCAAAATGCTTTCTCAGCCATCTACCATGACCCCCGAGCTATCCAGTTACATTTACTAGGGGAAGCAATGATTTAAAAAAATATGTATGTATTACACCCACACAGCCTTTCTTTAGAGAGGTCAAAAATCTTGGATGTAGCCTGTAATGGCTTGGAACCAACCTACCCACCCTCAAAGGCCTGGTCCAACTCCCACTAAAGTATATGGGATGACACCTATTGACTTCACTGGGAGTTAAACCAGGCCCCAAATCAGCAAACAGAGCAGTTTTTCCATGAGCAACTTCTTATGGTGCATTGCCAGGAGCAGCTTTAGAATCGGGTACAAAGTGAAATGACTGGGTTGGGACAATTCTCATAAGTTTCCTTCTTCTGCTGCTGGCTTCATGGGAGTCCCTTTATGTATGTCTACAACATTTTAAAGGTGACTGCTGAGGTCAGCCTAAAACTTAAAAAAAAAAGAAAAAAAGTAACATGCAACCCCCACCTGCAGTTTCCCCATCAGTATCAGTGACTGCAACTCTGGCTATGTCTAAATTATCTGGCTATGTCTAAATTATCAGTAAAAATTACAGTTTCCACCCTCAGTATTACAAAGATGTTCAACTCATATTGAGGGAAATTTCAAAGCAGTAATGAAAAATACCTGAAATTACATATTCTGATTGAAATGAATTTTCTGTAGTTATCGAAGGCAACTGAAGAAAAAAAATCAGTGCAGCTTTTCTTTAATAAAAAAGTTTTTGTTTTTTAAATTGCACTCAACCCCCACTAGATGTCTCCCACTGCTGTGACAGTGGACAGATATTCATCCCTACCCTTTACGATACTGGGGAATATGCTAAAATTGGCAAGTAGAAGACAACCCATAAGCTCTATTTTTAAAAACAGATAATTAAAGCAGTAGTTTAGTACTATGGACTTCATCCAGAAATAAAAGAAATGACAAATTTAGAAAACAAAATAAGGAAGAATACAAATGAATTGCATGGTAGTACAGAATATCAAGAATATAAGCAGGAGTTTTAGGGACACCAAACCAGCTGTATAGTGTTGCTGTCACAAGTGACCGTTAGTAGGACATAGTGCTACGGGAAGCATTTCAAGGTGATGAACACAGTTCTGCAGCATGTCCCTATAAACCAATTTAAACTGAACCATGGTCATCAGAATGAACCTCCTACTAGGGCTCAACGAGGGTTTTTAAAAACAGGTTTAAAAAGTTGTGGGAGGATAAATTCTTGTTATTTCCTTTCCCTTCTAAAAAAAGAGTTATGTTTAACTTCAAACATGAGAAGTTACCCATTCTTGTCTGAGGGAGCCATGCAGAGTGCTCTCCAAATGTAACATGACTGGTTACTCTCCACAACCACCACATTGACCAGGTCATGTCTATGAGGTGAATAACCATCAGGAAGTCTCAGAGAATCCAGAATGAAAAATATACTGTCATCTACTACGCCAATTCTTCCACAAACACTGGAAATACGAACCTGTAACATTTACACAAGTCTTATTGCATGTCACATGCTTAATTGGCTTAGGTAGTAACTTTTAAAACAGTAGTTCTCAAACTTTTGTACTGGTGACCCCTTTCACATAGCAAGCCTCTGAGTGCGACACCCCTTTTAAATTAAAAACACTTTTTAATATATTTAGCACCATTATAAGTGCTGGATGCAAAGCGGGGTTTGGGGTGGAGGCTGACAGCTCACGACCCCCCATGTAATAACCTCATAACCCCTGAGGGGTCCTGACCCCCCGTTTGAGAATCCCTGTTTTAAAACAATCATCACAGAATAGTATATGTATCAAATATGTTTATAATTGAAGAAAACTGAATCCTAGGCATTTCACAGAACGTCTACAGATTTAGTAGGCAATATTTCTATGAAAGAGGGTAAGGTAGTAATCACTACAGTGTTTCCTTAAATTTAAAAGTACCCAAACACAAGCAATTACATGTGCAGGGTAAAAATCATGCTTTAACCGTATGCTATAATACATTTATGGCTGGCTATTGAGCTTCAAGATACCATACCCATCGAAGAGTTCCCTCACCCTTCCATGGAAGTAATGGAAATGAGAGAACAGTAAAACCTAAAACTTTTCACCAGTTTGGTAAGCTGACAGTTTTATCTTTTAATTGGACACTCAACTGACTTAACACCTGTAAAGACTTATTTGTGGATATACTGGATATGTGGTGACTCAAGAAGGAATAGTAACATTTTCACTCACCAAAAGAGACAAGCGTCCTTTTATAACCCAGAGCGCTTGGAAGACTTTTAAAGCAAACATAATAATAAGCACAGCATTTGAATAATGATATTCATTAGTTCTGGATCAAGTGTAAGTGTAAGTATAGATGTTTGAATTATGAGCAAGTCTGTGTATGACAGGATGCTTTGGGTATTTCTCAACAAGTGGTTGGTAGCTAAAACCACAAAAGCCAACCAATAAAAACAACAAAATTCCCCACAACACATTTAAGATTCACCTCTCCCCCAACTTTGTTTTAGAAATAATCCCATATCAACTCATGAGCATTAGAATGAATTTAATTTTCTTTTATCTTTTAGCTGAATACTTGTCAAATACTTAAGCCTCTTCATTTTCAGTTTAAACCAAAGCCCCCCCCCCCCCAAAAACCTGTGTTTTACAAAAATTATTATTTGTTCCCCTGATTTTCACCCTACTTTTGTATCATTCAAAAATATAAAAAATAACTTGTTTTACTAGGAAAATACAATACATTGCATGAGATATATGTATTACGATAATACATTAGTCTGTGTGTATATGCAAAGCTGCCTGTTGAAGTAAGGTTCTGTATTAGTATGGAAGATACACACAATAAACAAACAGGCACCCACGCAAGCTCTGAAGTGCATGCACATCTGAACATAATGATAAATCTTACGCCTACCGTGTACACATTTCAAGCTGTTAGCAGATAATGGTTTCAACATTATTCAAAGTTTTATTTAGGGATTAGAGATATATTGTTTTCTTAAACTCAAAGGTGGCATTGTGTTTTGAGTTCTGTTTTAGTTCTGCAGCAAACCACACTGAATTCCGTTCAAAGCATTAATCTACTGAATACTTTCCCCCCCATCCTTACATCAACCAAAATAAATCCTGATATTTACCTAGAAAAATGAATAGTTTTTTGCACCGATTTTCAGTGGTTTTTGTTGTAGTAATAAACACCGATAAATTCCCAGGAAAAAATAAATACAATAAAAACTGAAAACAAAGGGCACTATCAATACTATAGTAGACCTACTAAGATAAGCAGACATTTTTCCTCCCACAGTACAGCGTGAATGTTCCTCTGCCAAATGCCAAGAGCAATATGCAAAATACATACTTTGTCCACTCGCTTATATCTCAGTGGCTTTACAGAAACTGCTTCACTGCTCCATGTTGTTGGGTTAATAAAATATTCAGCTTGCACCCAGTCACCTTTACAAGGTTCGAAGCCTACAAAAACAGTGACATTTTTGCAAGTTAAGTTGTCATAAAAAGACAGTTGTGTAACTTTGTGGAAGTGTGTAGTGTTTTTGCTATAAGAGGGCATTTTGATTTCACATAATTTAAGGAACTTTAAAGTTACCTGCTAAAATGTGTTAAAAGTATACTTATTACAGCACTATATATTGAGTGCTACACGTAACAGGAGATACAGAGAACTTCAGCACTTAATTTTAACTTTGTTTTATTTTTTGTGTCTACCAAAAATCAGGCCCTTGAGCTCCCACCCTGTTGCCTGATGGACTGTTGCAACAGGCTGAGACTTCACTGGGAGTGCACCAACTTTTTGACAGGGGAGGGGGGAATTTAATTCATAAGCTACACTTGCTAGGGATCAACCTTTGTCTTTAATACTTAACACAGATTGAGGAGTACCATTCTAAAGACACAAATGTTGGCCCTAATCTGGCAACAAGTTCTGCACAGGAAGCCACCTACATCTGTACAGAACTCCACTGAAGTCAGTACAGCTACATGGAGGCGCCAAGTGTCTACACAGGTGGCTTTGGATAGCCCACCCTACTTTGTGGAGAAACATTCACTGTTCAAGCTGTCATGTCAGCCAGCAGCATGAAGCCTATGCAGACCTGTCCACACAGAGGATTTTAAAGCTTGTTTAAAAAAAAAATAGCTACTGAATTTTACTAGGTGTCTGAAATAAGTTTTTTAAATGTTCATCGCAGTAAACAATGAAGATTAATTAAAATGTAATTTAATTTTACAATTTAAAAGCTTTCAGATGGCTAGCAACAATGAAAAGATCTCTGAACAAACTGTGATCCAAAGAAAGTCACAACATTTGCTAATCACTGATAGGGGAGTTGTTTAAAGGCCAAAGCATCATCAACCTCAGGCTATGGCTACACTAGAGAGCTTGCAGCTGTGCCCCTGTATGCTGTCTAGTGTAGCTGCTCTAAAACAACGGAGGAGCGCTCTCCTGTCAGTTTAATTAATCCAGCCCCTGCACACACACACACACACACACACACACACACACACCCTCCCCTGCAAGCAGCGGTAGCTATGTTGGCAAGAGAAGCTCTCCCACTGACATAAGCATCAGTATGGACAACGTTAAGTCAACATAAATTATGTCGTTCAGGGGGGTGGCTATTTCACACCCCTAAGTGACATAATTTATGTCGACTTAAGCTGTCGTGTAGCCATAGCTTCACATACTTAATACTTTTACTTGTGTTACAGCTTTACTACTAGTCAACAGTAAACTTCAGGAGTCACACAGTGATAAAACAAAGATGAACAGACTTTGGACTACAACTTATGTATTGTAAATCTGGCTAAATTTTAGCCACAAATTAAAAAAATAAAATAATCCTAATTATTAGATATACATTATTTAAAAGTTTAAGTTACAGGAGTGCAAAATAGTACCTGAAAGAGATACACCTCTACCCCGATATAACGTGACCCAATATAACATGAATTCGGATATAACGCGGTAAAGCAGCGCTCCAGGGGGGCGGGGCTGCGCGCTCTGGCGGATCAAAGCAAGTTCGACGTAACGCGGTTTCACCTATAACACGGTAAGATTTTTTGGCTCCCGAGGACAGCGTTATATCAGGGTAGAGGTGTAGATTCTACATTGAATGCAATAATTATGAAATCACACAGCTGCGTTCCCTCAGGAAGGGGCCTTTTACAGCAAGTTTCAGCCTGTAGCAACATTTTTTTTTTTGGATAAGTGTAAAACCCTGCCTGAAAATAGGGTTTTAAAATGAAATGTGTGGGACACTCTGGACCAGAGTTAGGAGTCAATCCTTTTTATATACTAACATGTTTATTTTCAAAGACGTATTAAATTTCACTAATTTCTCTATATTTAAAATGAGAAAGGGTGGGCTATACCTACTGTGAGAAGAAATTACCTCTCACATAAAGAAAGCCTACTTTCAATTAAAGTGATTTAGAGCTCAGTTTACAACACTCACAAATATGAAAAAAAATAGCTGTCTTCATCCCAGTTATTACTTTTACTCTAATACGGATTATCTGCTATTTGAAATATAAATTCTTGTAACGTGCACTAGACACTTAACACACAAGACTTTCGAGACCATTAAAATGGCTATCAAGATTTTTTTTTCCAAGTCATACCTTCACAAACCCGATCCATGGAGAAAGAAGTTGTCCTATTAATATAGCCACCATCTTCAGTAAGAGATGTAATATTGCCAGTTAACATTTTAGTTTTTAATTCAGAAGAGTCGTAAGTAGGACTGCTATAGTTTTCCCATTTGTCTGAGACAGCTTCTACCTAAAGTGTGCAAAAATACAATATTCCCATAGCTGATATTTCTACTTCACAAATGATTAGGTTGGCAGCAAAGTTAAAAATACACTCAAGATGCCCCATGTGATGTACCAGATTTCAAGTATTTTAAACTACATTTTATAGCCAACCAAAACCACTATTTACAGGATTATATACCCGCTTTAGTTGTCAAAAAACTCATGCCTCCCCCCACCACAAAAGATTAAAAATACTATAAAAACAAAAGGAATCACTAGCAGTAACAATGATATAAAGGTGGTAAGGAACTTCACTGTCACAAACTTTTGTTTCAACTAGTTGCACCAGTGCTGATATTTATTATTATTGTTCATTAATCTATCAACTCTTCAATCTGCTTGCCCATCTCACTTTAAAATCAAGGCAGTATCTTACAGGGTCTCCTGGCAGGTTGGGAGAGAATTTGTTTTCAAACATTTACTAATTTTGTGCAAAAAATGACTGAAGCTAGAGCGTTTCCCATTCTGCGAATTAGCAAACTCAAGAATTCTTACCATTTGTCATCACTTTATACACTATAAAAAAAATGTAAAGGACTTTCAAGTGACAATTGGTAATTTTAAATTCATGGAGTTTTTTACCCCCATTCTTTTAAAATGTACTCTTTCGTTTTATTAGGCAGGGAAACAGCTCCAGGCTGGTGTTTGCAAAATGTCAGCCTGAGAAGGGTCATGTAAATACAACCAGTTTCCTGATGTGCTAGAAGAAAGGAGCAGATACCATAGGCTCCTTAGCTGCCTGACCCATGGAAGCAGTAATGATTCCTTAATTATTTGGGAAGCTTAGGGCAGAGTTAGGAATCGCTGGCCTGAGAGAAATTCTCCCTACAAGGGCTAAGCAGCAGCAGCAGCTTTAAGAAAAATGCTCTTGCTTCCAAGGAGTCACTGTTGTCACTAGACCAAAGTCCCCACCACCCAAGTCACTGATATATCAGGAGAGTTCCTTCATCCCACAAGAATTCCCCCCTCTCTTCAAGGAGGCCTCCAGCACTCATAAGCCCCCTTCTCACCTCAAGAGTAATAGTTACTGAGGTCACTGTCCAAAAGCCCCTTACACCTCCAAGCAGCAGTTGGTGCTAGACTCTCACAATAAACTGTGTCTGGGTATATATGAGGAAACTGCACAGTGTAGGAGAAATTGGTCAGAGCAAGCAAAAGGACTAGATGGGGGAAAATACTCAAGCAGGTATTGTGGAAGTAAAGAGATATGGGATTACTTTAAGGAAAGCAAAATTAAATATATTTTATTATTAAACAGTGATATAATAAAAACTCACATATGTAATAAATATCCCATCACACAGTTTTCTTTTAAAGTGAATAAAAGGGAATGCAGGTAGACTTTGATCATGTTCAGGCACTGCTGGGTTATCACCAATTTGGGGCACAGGAACTAACAGGATCTGTAAACAAACTTTATTGTTTTACTTAGAAATGAGCATGTAGAGGAGGGTTGGAACACTGGAGAAAGCATGCAGGTTTCAAGACAAAAAAATCAGTTTTCATTTTCTGAAGGGTTACAGGATCATAACCATCTAAAAAGCTATTTACATAAAAATTATATGACTTGACAGTGTCCCTTTAAAAGGCTGATCGTGGCTTAGTGGGAGCACCAAAGAGGCCTTAAATTTTTAGCAACTGCACATCCCAGGAGGTGAAGCGTGTAGAGACAACAAGCTCAAAGACCCAGCAGAAGAGTTTAGTGCATCACAGAAATTAGTCAAAGGACAGGCTTTGACAGGTCGTAGGAGCCTCTTGAATCCTCTCACAGAAGGGAAAAAAGAAGATAGTGCTGCAATCCAAAGTCTGTCCAAAAGGATTTAAAAAGGAGATAAAATATTGGAGGAAATCTTTAAGGCCAACCTCTTGTCAAACTACAAACAAGCAGTATAAATGAGAGGAAAATTAGACTCTTGCTACCATCGCAGTCAGTACTGTATTTGTTCAGTGGTAAGGCAGAGGATTTCATCTTTGTTAAACCAACATCTTTCAAAAGCATCGCATTCACTAGAGATCATCAAAAATTTAAGCTCAAACTCACTATCACTCTTACAGTCACTAATTTCTCTCTCCCAAATCAAAACCAAAACTGTGAGAAGTAGAAAAGGAATAATCTAGACTGTTGTGGAAACAAAACAAGCAGAAAATAAAGTGTAAGACAAGAAGAAATTTGATTTTGGTAGTGTTTCCACAGTTAATTCCACATTAGGATAATAAGTGTTTTTGAAGAGAAAGGGAAAGAAAAATGCATAACTTGAAGAAAGAAAAAAAAGGGGGGTGGGGGGATACTGCCATGCCCTACAATAGCAGAACTTGTACCATATCGGTATGTGTGTGTAGATATGGGTTTAAGCTATGTTTCCATATCCACATTTCTGACAAATATTAGTTTTATATAGGTTAAACTCTGAGGGGGAGATTCTGTGCTGCACCTCCAAGAGACAAAGCACAGAACTTGTAGTCCTGGGGAAGAAAAGGCAAAGGTGTCTTTAAGACATTTTCTTGGTTCCAGGCTGCTTCATGGCCCCAGAATAATTTAGGCAGTCCAGGGAGATACTTTAACCATCCCTGGCAGCCTATGGATGGTTCCATCTCCCCATCTCCTCTTGGAGGCAGCCAGCACTGGGGCTTGTGATGCATCCAATACAGGCCTGTTTATGGTAGCCCTATGCCATGTCTGTGCCAGGGAAATTCTTCTCTGATTTGTTGCAGGGCCTTTACAGCCCCGGTATGAATTGCAGTATCCCAGCAAACATTCAGAGTTGTCAGGCTGGTGCAAAATGGAGTTAGGAATTTATTTATTTATTATTTATGATTATTTATTTATTTTTTATTATTATTAGGAGACTGGCAGACCTCAAACCCTTACTTATTACACTTTTTGTAAGTATGTATGCCAATATGCATCTGAGAAGCCCTTAGTCAGCAGCATTATTTTATTGGATGAACATTTGCAGGACTTTCCTTTAGTTTTCACTTAGAGAAATCCATTTAGTCAAACTAATACAGTAACTCCTCACTTAAAGTATCAGAGGGGTAGCCATGTTAGTCTGGAACTGTAAAAAGCAACAGAGAGTTCTGTGGCACCTTTAAGGCTAACTGGTTAGTCTCACAGGACTCTGTTGCTCCTCACTTAAAGTCATCCCAGTTAACATTGTTTCGTTGCTGATCAATTAGGGAACATGCTTGTTTAAAGTTGTGCAATGTTCCCTTCTAACGTCGTTTGGCAGCTGCCTGCTTTATACACTGCTTGCAGGAAAAGCTGTCCATTGCAGCTAGCTGGTGGGGGCTTGTAACCAGGGTGGACTGGCAGCCCCCCACTCCCCTAAGTTCCCAGCAGGCTATCAATTGCTGGCAGTTCAGCTGTCCCTCCCCGCACTGCCATGTGCTGCTCCTGCCCTCTGCCTTGCAGCTGCTCCCAGAGACTCTTGCTTGCTGTGCAGGGGGGGAAGGGTGGGGCGCTAATGTCAGGGTGTCCCCTCCCCCCACTCCTGCACCCCGCTTATCCCTTCTCCATATAGAGCAGGGAGGAGACACGGACGGAGAGAGACAGGGAGAGCTTGGGGCAGCAGCTGCTGTCTCAACTTCCTGATCCACTTAAAAGACAATGCACTTCAGAGTGGGTCAGCTTACTTAAAGGGGCAGTGTGCATCTCTCTCCCACAAACAAGATGTGTGTCTGTCTCTATCTGCTATGCTGTCTCCCCTCCCTTGTGTTCGTGTTGCCTTGTGTGAGAGGCTACATTAACAACAATGTGTTAACCCTTGAGGGCTCAGCTGAGTGCTAGTTCATCATTTAGCAGCAAGGCATTTCCTGGGAAATATCCCTCCCTCTTCCATCCGCTAACTTCACCACCTCAACCAAGCTTCACAATCATCATAGCTGTGAACAGTATTAAACTGTTTGTTTAAAACGTATACTGTGTGTATATCTATATAATATATAGTTTTTTGTCTGGTGAAAAATTTCCCTGGAACCTAGCCACCCCCCTCCCCCGCCCATTTACATTAATTCTTATGAGGAAATTGGATTCACTTAACATCGTTTCGCTTAAAGTCGCATTTTTCAGGAACATAACTACAACGTTAAGCGAGGAGTTACTGTACTAAGGCGGTAAGATAGTATTTATTGCACTGAGAGCTAAAAAATACAGAAAAGGAGGTATTTTCAAAAGCAATTAGTGTTAGTCAACTCTACCACTGGAATTAATGGCCATTGACTTAAATGGGAGAAGAGTCTGGCCAACGCCATGTACTTTTCAAAATATCATCCTAAACACATACCAAATATGACATTTTCAGGCAAGCAACTGCTGTAGTTTCTATAGGGTTTCTATACAATCATAAAGAGTATTTCTCTCATGGAACACCACCTCGTATTAAGATGGCATACCCACTATGAAAAATAATTTGGGAATTAGAAAGTGAGTCTGAACATAGAATGTTAAGTGGTATGATCTCAGAACATATGCTGCAATCAAATGGTAGTTCAGAAGGTCCATAAGAGTCACAGAAAAGGCTCGTCCCAAGCTTCAAGGGTGGGGATTCACTACCACAGTGCAATACACCCTCCACAAAACAACTATGACTGGAAATCCATCCTAAGTTACTGCTGGCAACTGATCAAAATTTCCTGCTAGTGTTGCAGAGTAGGGTGGGTTTACATATGAAAGAAAGGCATTTAGAGGCAGGTACCCTGTATGAATCACCTTTTCATGTTCTGTATGTATATATTAGAGTTACCATATTTCCACAAAAAGAGAGCGACGGGGGGGGGGGGGGGGAAGCCCTGCCCTAGCCCCGCCCCCAGCCACTCCCTCCCACTTCCCACCCCCTGACTGCCCCCCTCAGAACCCCAACCCCCCCTGCTTCTTGTCCCCTGACTGCCCCCTGCTGAGAACCCCTCACCCTAACTGCCCCCCTAGGACCCTATCTGTCCCCTGACTGCCCCAACCCTTATCCACTC